ACTTATTAAATTCAGTATTTGGTTTTGGTACGTTTCGAGCGCTAAAATGGGAAATACCTCAACAACAAAAAAATGAAAAAGCAGTGACATCAACAAATTAATCTCAGCAATAAAGTCAAAATTTTGTTTTGTTTCTTTTTAGTTTATGTACCTATTTTAGTAGTAAAAAGCGCCCAAAAATCATTCACCCTTTAAAAATGATAAGTAAATTATGAGTAGATGTCAGGTTTTGTTGATAAACAGCGTAAAAAGCTTTCGTGATTACAAACGTTTTTTTTTAACTTGTCTTACTTCATTCAGCAACGATACCTACAATTCACGGAAAAAAATTCATTTCAAAACAAATAAGAAGACTAAAAAGTCACTATTGCTAAAAAATTCTACGAGGGGATGCTGATAAAAAAAAAATAAATAAAACAGTTATCAATTCGAAATCTGACCAAACATCAAAATTTAGTTTTGCTTTTGAATCTTTTCTTGGTTGTGACGAAAGATTTCCATCGCCACGCGTAATTCTGGACAGTTGCACAGACAGTTAAAACATTATACATTACAATTACATGCAAGGTCGTACTTGCACCACATAAAAAGAATAGAAAACCTCGACATTAATAAACTAAAAAGAAACGAACAATAATTAAAACAAAAATAATAACTAAAAAAAAAAAGATTAACGAACGATACATTTATTTTTCTTTCGGTTTCAACTCAAACAAGTAAATGTTGGACATGTTTGTTGAGTTTAATGTTAATTTCAACATGTTGAGTGAGTGAGAAAAACTAAAAAAATAAAAGGAAAAGCAGACTTCAAATAAAAATAAATAAACTTCAGTCTTCCTAGTGATCATTCTCTCTAGTAATAAAAAAAATATTTTGCTTGAAACCACGTGGTTTGGTTTACACTTTTATACACACATATCGCAACATTACATCCTTTTCTTGCTTTATCTACTTACTAAGACTACATAAGTACAGCAAAAAACTAGAAGAGGTGAAGAAAAAGATTTTCTCATAAGTCTACCTGCTTTGAAAATCGGCGTTTGAAATCTTGCCTTTTTTATTGCTTGTAAGTCAAATATTGACCTTTAACACCGCCAAGAAATATGTAACTATTTTATGATGAGATGCGCTTCCAGTACTTAAGTCTGGCATAATGGTGGGATATTTTTTCTTGCTTATACAACAACAATAACATTATTCCACGGTGAGGAATTGGTTGTTTTCTTTCATATTGAAACAATAATAACTACATTTGAAAATTCAAAACGTTACCAAGATTTTTCGCCAAGCTTCATATTGCAAATAGAAATAAATAAACAGAACTGATAGAGAAAAGTGTATTTTTTGCGGGTATAGTCAGTAAATTGAGAAAAAAAAAGGGGAATTTTTTAAAAGCCATTCCTCAACTTGTCTAGAAAAGCAATTTTTATGATCGATCACGTGGTCTAAACATTTCATTTTAAAGCAGATTTATTTTACATTAAAAATTCGTGTTCTTGCGATCTCGAAATATCATTAATGTCCATAACAATTCAATTACAGTTGAGTAACTACTTGTTGAATTAAAATGTCATGGAAGGAAGAAATAATACCAGTCGAATCGGTCAATTAGTTGTCAGTCAATAAAAGTTCAGTAAGTTAGAAGAAAGAGTTATCATCACTACTGTTTTGGGAGGGAAAATATCTCGTGTTTCTGGAAAAGTTCACATCCAAATAAACTTTTGCTTTGTAAATTTAAATCGAACGAAAATCAACAAACGACATTAAAACTTATTTAAAACATTTTTTTCATAAGTACGTACGTTTTAGGTTATTTTTTTTAATACACTACAATAATTTGTGTAAAGTAAAAATTTGTCTTTTTATGTCGTGTGCAAATTAAGCGAATAAAAACAGGTCTTTTAAATTTAACAGAATCAATCATAAAATTAATTTTAATCTTCAGAAGTGCTCTTTTGATTTTGTCTAAAAAGTAAAAAAAGGTTTGTTGTTTTTTTTCTTTTTACCTCAGAGAAGTTATTCACCGATGATTTCTTGCAGTATTTGACAACTCAGTAATATACGTTTGATTTTTTTTTTTCTTTTCAAAGGGAGATAACTGTATAATGCTAAACTAGTTTTATTTTCTCTTTTTTTTACACTGAGAATGGCGGGAATTTAGAATGACTAACTGCTACGAGAGATCTTTGCCCATGTTTGATTCTTATGATTTAAAGCGATTACTTTGGCACCACTAGAAGTTTTTCTTTGTACTGATAGGGAAAACAAAAGGTGTTTAATCCTCAGCATTTACAATATTTACTCGTGAATTTAGAGAAAATCCAACTTTGATTAAAAAAGCAAGCAAACAAACACGTGACAGGAATATTTATAGTTGAGCAAGTATCTCTTATTAGTTTTAACTTTGTTTGACACAAGCTCAAAATAGTAATGTACCTGTTAGTAAGCTTTCTAACTATTACTCCAAGATAGCTAAAAAATAGATGGTGGAACACAAAATACAGGCTTATTGCAAGAGTTGTTTTAGTGTGCTTGGTGGCTTTTAGGTTGGGTGGGGGTACAAGTAAGAATTTGCATATTAAAATTATTTCATGTTCACATCATTTTCGCTGGGTGGGGCCTAATGGTTTTCAAGACATACCCCACCGCTCGTTGACAGGCCTGACAAAAAGTACCTGGGCAAAATTTACATTTGTGGAATAATGATGTTTTCAGGATTTGATTTCTCTCCATGTTCTTTGACTTCTAATCCAAAATCCTTTATGATTTTTTTTTTTTTATTGTAGATTATGGAATATCTAGCTCAGAAGATCTTGACTGCATGCCTTCACATACTGGACAGCCAGTAGACTGCATGCCTCCGTTCTGGAACAGCCAATAGGAGCAAAAAAACCTTTTCCTATAATCAAAATGTGCTCTGCTTTGGAACTTACTGAATCTCTTTGAAACTTATTTTAGTTTATATTCTGAAATTATTCTTTCTCTAGCCAAACACTACTTATGAATTTGTCTTCTATAGCACAGCACAGATACCAATATCAGTTCTATTTAAGAATAATCTAAAATTGTCCCTTAGTCTAAGCTGAATTGTAGTCTTGAGTTTTTCATCTTTATTATAACCACTGCTATTCAGTCTTAACATGAATTTAACCTGTAAAATGAATAAGATAAAATAATTATTTACTAAGCTATTGAATTGTAAGCATTCATCTATATACCACCACCATTTCTATATCTTGTCAATGTGATGTGAGCTGGTTAAGAGATGTATTTTGCAATTTCTGAGAGATCTATAATTGTACAACAAATCTGTTACCAGTGTAATGTCCATAAAGAAATACATAAATGAAAAATGAATTATACTTTCACTGTGTTGTGACCGTAAAAATAAATAAAAATTAATTATAGTGTCAAAAATAATTATAATAAAATAATTATAATAATTATCATTAATTTGCTCATTCTAAACCAATGAGAATCAACCCAACTTTTATCCTCTACACATACAAATATGTGACATTCTCACTACCAGACAAGCAGTCAACACATACATCAACAAAAATTTTGGCACCTTTTCCTTTTTCAGGCCATAATGGTCACATTTATCTTTTAATACTCAACAAAAATTTTAGGTAAGAAAACCCTAGACACTCATAATTTCCCAATTTTAATCAGTATTACTGTCTCTCATGTCTCTAACACCACATAACAACCAGATAATAAATAAAATTCATTTTGTTGTTTTCACACCTTGCTATTTCTCATTTTTATGAGTATTTTTGTATATATAAATATAAGGGGGTTTATAATTATTTACTCAAGTTATAACTTCCTTATACCAGTCTTAGCAATGCATGTGTACCCTGGAGACACTATTTAGATAGTATATTAAAGTATGCTGGTATTATGTTTTCTTTAAAGAAAAGAAACTACAGGAACCATATGAATTCTATTGCAAGAAATGTTTACTTTGGTCGTGCTCTTGTGGTACACTACTGTGTTCCTAGCCAAAATGAACCAATTTTTTTTGTTATTTAGGGTGGATTGAAACAACTTTTGTTGGAAAAAGATTTGGGCAATTAAAGAAACAAATTGGAAACCAATAAAACAAAAAGAAAAAATTAAAAAGGGATTCTACTGTAAATCTACAAATACCAATAAGAAAGAACTTGAGTTATGAAACATACATACCATGCCACATAGTCACCCTTCAGTTCACACACTTGATACACCATTCTTCAAATTTATTTAACACTCTTCAAAAAAAGAAAATTCTGTTATTTGGTCATAGAAATAAGGAAGAGGATCTTGCCAAGAACTTTTCAGCACCCTCTCATATAAAAATTTTATAACTGTTCATTTTGATCAACAATTTTCAATGAGATATACATCTTACATACTAATAAATAAAATATACTAACTTTTACAGTATATATTTGTTCATAATGGTATGTCACATATAAAATCTTTCCTGTTATTTTAAATACATTTTCCTTCGTTTCTGAATATTACTTATATTTGCATAGTTTCAACACATTTCAGTACCCACTTACCTGTTGTTATTTACTAAGCTTAACTTAGTTTAGCATAAAGCCATAAGTATAAGACATCCACATTATCCACCTTGAAATTTCCAAGGCCATTTACGTGTTACAATTTATTTCAATGTCTTTGAGTAAAGCTGAAGACATCAACTCAATTCCTTACTCATATAAAAATTACTGTTAACATATTCAACATTATTATCCTTTGAGCCTAATACTTGACTCTGTTCATTCTTTTAAATCCAGAAATTGTTGAGGAATTCTTTTTAATACGTTTAATGGAATCTGATGCTATTTGCTTTCTTAAACATATTTCCCAACAAGTCTAAACAGAATCTGTTACACACTCTTTTCACTTAATGGCTATACTTGTTAGTTAATATACAAGGGGTTTTGAAAAGTTCTGAGTCTAAACAAGAAGCCTTTCCAAAACAAAATCTGATATTTAACATTTTGAGAAGTAGATTCATTGCTAAGCAAGGTAAAAATTATATAATGTAACTCAACCTCAAATAATCATTATTAATTTTTAAAACATTTTGTTCTTAATTTCTGCAAGTCATTTTTTCTTGTTTACTGATAGTTCACCCAATACAAGAACCAAGGGTCACTCAAAGTAGAGGGTTACTGAGAGATTGTAAGGGTGGGGACAGGGAGCAAGAGTATTATGATGACAAGTGGGATAAATATTGGTTGACCCAGGACTTAAAGAGACCAAGGTTGTAGTTTTCAGAGAAGCATTCTCTTGGGAGCTTGTTCCACAAAGAAAATTTTTTATCAAAAGAACATGATGGGAGGGTTTGCCACCATGAATACAGCATGATGGATCCTAGCTGTGACTGTCTGAGCTGGTAGCATTAAGGAATGTTAACTCATTTAAACATCTGCCATAGTAATAGCAATATAGGAGAGAAAATCTGTTGACATTTCATCTGTGAGATGTGAGTGTAAATCTTGATTATAATATGCAATTTTTCTTCATAAAAAAGCAATCCATTTTTTTCAAATTCCTAATTATAGAAGGGACTATCAAATATAAGAAAGAGGTATGTTCTTGCTAATTAATATTGAAAGGAATGTTCTACATGCTGTGTTCTCATCTCATTGTCCTCAATTAGTGTCTCTATGTTTGCCAGTAACTTGCACATAAAGTCTATATTAGTCAATGAAAAAAAAAGGAACAAGATTGAAGGTTCTGATTTCAATTGGTCAATTTCATGTTTTAAATATTTGAGTAAAGATTAGATTAGTGTAAGATATGTCATATTACAAAAGGTTAAAATCAACACAAATATCGTATATACTTGTGTATAAGCTGACTCCATGTATAAGGTGACCTCTGAATTTTAACCACTCCAGAAAAAATTTACCTGTCTATAATGCAACTGGTCACCGAAAAATACATGATTTTTAATCTCTTCCAAAAAATTACTTGTGTATAGTGCAATCTCCTACATTTTGCTTAAAAAAAAACAATAAAAACTCATACTATACTCAAGTATATATGGTATTTCTGAAAAATGTACCTAGAGGCTGCTGGTTGATGAAATAAGTTTATGTCAATTAAGTTTTTATTATTTATATGACTCTTTGTTTAACAACGGCTTCTTTAAAATAATTCACAAGGTTTGCCCACTTTTTCTATTGATAGAGCTATTTTTTTTTTTTTTTACTATAAGCATCATTGTAAATTTCATACATGAAAATTCATAAAAATCTTCAATTGTTTTTTAAGCTTCTGGGTTACTCCAATTGGCTTTGCCAAAAAAAACTCCTTGGAGCAAAGCTTTTTAGGTCTATAAAAAGTCAAACATTTCTTTCATCTTTTTAACTTTTGCCTCCAAATATAGTAGAACATAGATAGAGAACACCCGCTGGGATGGATCTGTTTTTCTTGGTTTGTTAAACATGCACATACACACACACAAACAAGCATGTTCTTATAGATTTTTAATGTCTTTTCCTGTAATTTCCATTGTGTACACATGTAATTCCTTTTGTTAATAACATGCATTGTTGTTTATTTTAAATTCCATGTTTTGTGTACTCATTTTTACCTGGACTCACCAATATTGCTTGTGGGACAAATGCACCAGGAACATTTAACATTTATTATAAATTGTCCACACTTTGCAACAAAAGAAGTGAAATCTGCAACAAGCTTAAAGAACTTCTTAAAATATGTATAAATACAGTTTTTGATCTTTATTAAACTTGCTTAGCATAGTACAAGGCCAAAAAGAGACAAGAGAATGGGAATATGAAAATTGTGTTGCATCAGTCTTCAAAATGGGAAGGGGTGGCCCATCTGCCTGACCTGAAAAATCAGCATTTCTTGTCCTGGCTCCTTACCCGGGCTTGAACACTGGCAACCAATGTAAATCTTTAATTCTTCAAAAAGGTCAACGTGACATTTTATTCTTGGTCTTTACTAATCAACTTAGTAAAACAAAGTTAAGAGGAGGTACTAGAGAGATTGTATTGCACCAGTCTTTAAATGGGGAAAGTCTGTCTGCTTTAAGTGGATGTGCAGGTGGTGTAATGGATAGTGGCTTGGAATGAGAAATCAGAGAGCTGAGTTCAAATTCCACTCAGGTTCATTACATTTACTTTTTTTTTTACAGTAAGGTTCACTCTGTACAAGGCCTGTTTAGCCACTTGAGGTAGAGGGTTACATTAATGAGTAGTTTATATGGATAAGAGGGGAAGATAATGGTTGATTTTAGATTTGAACAGGTTAAGATTGTAGTGATCAGGGAAACATTCTCTTGGGAGTCTGTTCTGCAGGGCAGTGGTTTGCAGGAAGAAACTGAATGGAACTTACTTCTCGCTGATGGAATACAGAGGGAATGTGGGTGGTTTGCTGCTATGTAAGTGGCATGGCAGGTCCTAGCTGTGAAGGTTATGCTGAAAATTCCACTCTAGTCACATGAACACTTACAGATAAAGGGGTCGGAGAAAATTTAAAAATTACCTACAAAAGAAGTGTATACACTATCAACACATTGTTCCTAAGATACCAGAACAAAATGGAGTGGCTGAAAGAATGAATAGAAACTGTATGAGCAATGTCATCTGATTTGAATCTTCCAAAAGAGATTTTGGGCAGAAGCTTTATCAACAGCTGCATATATTTGAAACCAAATCCCAACAACTGCTCTACAAAAAATGACATCATATGAATTATGG